AGTAACATTTCAGTCAAACACACCCAAGAAAAACATATTGATGAAATCAAACTTCAATTTCCCCATGCTTGTAGCACAGATAAGTCAACCAGTATTCGGGGCTATAAAGCTCAACTTGTATTAAAAGATGATGTCCGACCTGTTTTCCACAAATTTTATGAAATCCCATTTAGTCAATCGGAAGAAGTGCATCAAATAATCATGAATTTAGTAAAATCTCAAAGACTTGAACCCGTCACCCACTCTGAATGGGCTTCACCCATTTGGCCAGTCAAAAAGAAAACGGGCGGAATTCGAGTAGTTGTCGACTTCCGCAAAACAGTCAACCCTTGTCTCAGATTAGATCATTACCCGTTACCTAGATTAGAGGACATTTGGTCCAAACTAGCAAATTGTAACTTCTTCACCAAAATTGATCTCACAGAAGCATATTTGCAACTGAAAGTTACCGATGATAGTAAAGAAATTCACACACACGTGTGAATTCACATTCACACGTTCAACACACCCTGGGGATTGTTTCAATTTAACAGACTAATTTACGGTATCAACAGCGGATCATCAATTTTTCAATCTGTAATTGACCGCATATTAAGTAATCTCCCCTGGTGTGGAGTCTTTATAGATGACATTGTATTTGGCGACAAAACTATTGATGGAGTCAAACAGAAAACACATATTGTATTAGGTAAATTAGATTTTCACAGAGTCCAAGTCAACTTGGTCAAAAGTATATTTTATGCACCGGAAATAGAATTATTTGGCCATATTGTAAACTGCGAAGGTATCCGCCCAACATTAGATAAAATCTCAGCTATACTAAACGCTCGTCCACCGAAGAATGTATCCGAACTCAGATCTTATCTAGGTTTAGTTCAATTTTATGCACGTTTCATCCCTAATTTGAGCACGCACTTGAAACCCTTGCACAAATTGCTAGAAAAAAACACTAAATTTGATTGGAACTCTCGGTGTGACGAAGCCTTTTCGTACACTAAACAAAAGTTAGTTGAAAAACCAGTGCTAACTATCTATGACCCTCAGAAACCTATTTTTGTCTACACCGATGCCTCACCTTATGGAGTAGGCACAGTCCTATGTCACCTCATTGCGAATTTTGATAAACCAGTCATGTATGCATCTGCATCCTTAACTCCTTGTCAACAAAAATATGCACAGCTGGACAGAGAAGCTCTTGCTGTAGTCTTTGCAGCTAAGAAATTTCACAAATACCTTTATGGACTACCATTTACGG